ACTGAAAATTTCCTCATGTTAACTACAACAGCAAACCACAGATTCAGCAAGCTCAGAGAACACCATGCAGGATAAATACATAAAACTACACCCAAGCATACTTAAACTGTAGAAAATTAAATCATAAAGAAAAAACCTTGAAGGAGACAGAGGGGGGAAAATAGCTTTACAGAAACAAAGATATGAATTACATCCAACTTCTCCTCAGAAACCATGCAAGCAAGAAAAGAGTGCAATGACTATTTAAAGGGTTGAGAGAAAAAAAATCATCAACCTAGAATTCTGGACCCTGTGAAATCTCCAAAAGTGAAGGGGAAATAAAGACTTTCTCAAATCACAAAAACTGAGGGAATCTGTTGCCAGTAGACCTGCCTTGCATGAAGTGTTAGAAGAAGCTCTTCAGAGAGAAGGAAAATGATTTATGTCAGAAATGCAGATCTCTATAAAGAAAGGAAAAGCATCAGAGAAGGAATAATTGAAGGTAAAATTACAACTTTAATTCTTCTTCTTTTCTTTTTAATTGATCTAACAGATACGTTTGCTCAAAAATAATAATAGCTACCATATATTCGATTCTGTATGCTTATATATGCATTTATGTATATGACTGACATGTGTGACATGAATGACAGTAATGATACAAAGAATGGGGGGAGAGATAACATTTTGCTGTTAGATACCTGTGCTGTGAAGCAGGATATTGTTGTCTGAAATTAAACTTGGATTATCTGTAATAAAATGTAAAAACAGGAGAAAGTGGAATCATATAAAATGCTTAATTAAAACTACAAAAGGCAAACAAAGAGTGGAAGACAAAAGGATACAGAACAAAGAACAAGAGCAAGGAACAGACAAGAATAACAAACATGGCAGACATTGATACAACTCTTTACTAATTACTTTACGTTGTCACGATCTAAATACACCACTTAAAAGACAGACTGTCAGAATGGATAAAAAAACAAGCCCCAACTACCTACATGTTTTGTACAAGAAATCTACTTTAAATATAAAGACACATATAGATGAAAAGTAAAGGGATGGAGAAAAAGATACCATTCCAATACTAATCAAAAGATGGCAGGAGGAGCTATATTAGCTCAAACAGAACAAACTTCACACCAAGAAAAGTTACCAGGAATAAAGAAGGGCAATATGTAATGATAAAGGCGTCAACCTACCAAGATGACATAATAATCCTTAATGTGTCTGTGCCTAACAAGAGCATTAGAACACATGACACAAAAACTGAGAAACCTGCAAGGAGGAACAGAATACATAGGTCAAAGAACAAATCTCAGTGAAATTAAAAAATATTCCGAACCAAGTAAGCATGGAAATACAATACCAAAATTTGTGTGATGCAGTGAAATCAGTGCATGACAAGAAAATGACAGCCCTGAACACAATATGGAAAAGAAGAAAGATTTGAAATTAATCATCTAAGCTTCTACCTCAGAAAACTAGAAAAGTAGAATAAATCCTAAGTAAACAAAAGAAAATAAATAATAAAAATTACAAAGCTAAGAAATGGGAAAGAATTCTAAAAACTGGTTCTTTGAAAAGAGCAATAAAATCAATAATCCTTTAGTCAGGCTACCTATGAACAAATGGGAGAAGACACTAATTAGAATGTCAGAAATGAAAGAGGGTGCATCAGTATACAGATCCTCTGGACATTAAAAGGAGAAAAAAAGGATACTGTGAACACCTCTATGCCAGAAAATTTGATAACACAGATGAATGGATCAATTTCTTAAAAGACACAATCTCCAAAACTAAGACAAGAAAAAATAGGCAATTTCAACAGGCCTATATCTATCTTAAAAATTGAATCAATAGTTACTAACCTCCTATAACAAATGGCACTAGACCCAGCTATATTCATTGGTGAATTCTGCAAAACATTTAAGAAAGAAATTATACTAATTCTCTATAATCTCTTCCAGCAGATAGAAGCAGAGTGAGTACTTCCTACTTTATGAGGCCAGTGTTAACCCTAATAACAAAACCAGACAAAGACATTACAAGGAAAAAAAAAATTTAAACCAATACCTCTTGTGTATATAGATACCAAAATCCTCAACAAAATACTGGCAAGTTGAATCCAACAATGTGTAAAAAAGAACTTTACATAATGACCAAATATGATTTATCCCAGGTATGCAAGTCTGGTTCAAGATGTGAAAATCAGTTAATGTAACCTACCACACTAAGAAGATAAAGAAGGAAAACCCCATGACCACAGTCACAAATGCAGGAAAAGCATGTGATCAAACTCAACACTTGTTCATGATAAAAATTCTCATCAAACTACAAACAGAGGGGAAACTTCCTCAACTTGGTAAAGAACATCTAAAAAAACCTTCATCTAACATCATATTTAATGATGAGAACCTAAAAGGTTTCCTTCTAAGATCAGGAACAGGGCAAGAATGTCTTCTCTCATCACTCCCTTTTAATATCATACTAGCTATAAGTCCCAGCTAATGCACTAAGGCAAGAAAACAGAAAAAGGTATAATACAGATTGAGAAGGAAGAAAAAAAACTGCCTTTATTTGCAGGTAACATGATTGTCTACGCAGAAAAACTGAAAGAATCAAACAAAAAATTCCTGGAACTGGTAAGTAATTATAACAATCCTTGCTATAATTGCAGGATATACAATAAATACACAAAAGTCAATTGCTTTCCTATAGTAAATGAACAAGTGGAATTTAAAATTAAAAGCACAATACCATTTACATTAGCACCCTCAAAACAGAGACACTTTGGTACAAGTTTAACAAAATAGACACAAAAATGTATATGACCAAAACCAAAAAACTCTAATGAAAAAAATTTAAAAAGAACTAAATAAATGGATAGATACTCCATATTCATGAATTGAAAGACTCAATATTGTCAAAATGTCAGTTCTTACTAACTTGATCTGAAGACTCAACACAAACCAAATCAAAATCCCAGAAAGTTATTTTGTGAGTACCAACAAACTAATTCTAAAGTTTATATGAAAAGGCAAAACAAAAAACCAGAAAGCCCAACACAAGATTAAAGGTAAAGAACAAAACTGGAAGACTAACATTACCCAACTTCAAGATGAAATCTAAAGGGAAAGTAGTATTGGAAAGAATAATCAGACAGATCTTTGGAACAGAGAAGACAGCCCAGAAACAGACCCACATAAATACAGTCAACTGATTTTTGACAGAGGAATAAAGGTAACAAGGAAACAATGATGGCCTATTCAATAACTAAAACTGGAACAGCTGGGTATCCATATGAAAGGAATAAAAATCTAGGTACGGACCCTGCCACCTTAAACTCTTCTCAAAAATTAACTCAAAATGGATCACAGGCCGAAATACGGAACACAAAATAATAAAAATCCTAGGAGATAACACAGGGAAAAAAATCTAGGTAACCTTGAATATGGCAATGACTTTTTAGATATATTGAAGGTATAATCTATGAAGGAACTGATACAGCTAAACTTCATTAACTTTCATAAACTTTCATTAACTTCATTAAAACTTTCTGCTCTGAGAAAGACACTGTCAAGAGAATAAGAAAACAAGCCACAGAGAAAGTGTTTGCATATGATATATCCAATAAAGGACAATTATCCAAAATACACAGAGGACTCTTAAAAGTTAACAATAAGAAAATGAAGAACCCAGTTTCAATGTGGGCAGAAGACCTGAACAGACATTTCCGCAACGAAGTTGTACGTATGACAGAAAAACATATGGTGGCTCTAGTGTTAAAGAACCCACCTGCCAAGAAGCTATCACTTCCAACATATTAGAAGGGCCAGACTAAAAACCAGGGACAATACCAATCGCTGGTTGAGGATGTGGAGTAACAGGAACGCTCATTCACTGCTGGTGGGAGTGCAAAATGGTACAGACACTTTGGAAGATAGTTTGGTAGTTTCTTATAAGTGTATTCTTGCCATATGATCCTTGTATTAACCCAAATGAATTGAAAACTTACGTCCACACACAAAAAATGGAACACAGATGTTTATAGCAGCTTTATTCATAACTGCCAAAGTTGGAAGCAACCACGATATCCTTCTGAATGTCCTTCCTAGCTGAATGGATAAATAAATTGATATATCCAGACAACAGAATACTATTCACAATAAAAACAAAAGGGTTATCAAGCCACGAAAAGACATAGATAAACGCTCAATGCATGTTACTAAGTGAAAGAAGTCAGTGTGGAAAGGCTACATACTATTTGATTCCAACTATGACATTCTGGAAAAGGCAAAAATCATGGAGACAGTAAAAGGATTCGTNGAAAGGCTACATACTATTTGATTCCAACTATGACATTCTGGAAAAGGCAAAAATCATGGAGACAGTAAAAGGATTCGTGGTTGCCAGGGGTTGGGGGAAGGAAGGATGGCTAGGCAGAGCCGAGAGGATTGCTAGGGCAGTGAAACTACTCCGTGTGATCCTGCAGTGGTGCATGCATGTCACTGAACACAGAATACCACCAGTGAGTCCTAACATCAACTATGGTGGTTCTGATGTATCAGTGTTGGCTCACTGATTGTAACGATGTCCCATCTAGTGGGGGATGTTGATAGTGGGAGCGCCTGTGTGTGGGGGCGGGGAGTATATGGAAACCTCTGTACACTCCACTCACTTTTGCTGAGAACCTAAAACTGCTCTAAAAATATAAAGACAGTTAAAAAAAAAAAAAATCAACAAACTGATAACATACCATCGTGTATTTTTTTTAATTCTATTTTTTCTTTCAAGAAATTTTGGTCACCTTGCAGGAACGTCATTTCACAAGGCACTTAGGGCTTGAAGGAAGGCAGTAGAACGCTGTTCTAGGGCAGTGTCCCGCCTGCCTTGTGAAATCCACTCTCTACCCGACAGGGGACTCGCTCCAACCACATCCAGCTCATTCACAATGGGCAAGGCAGGCCCCCACCGCCAGCAGCCCAGGGCTGGCCTGGCCCTGGAGGCCGCTGCAGTACCTGGAGGGAGGGTCTCCATGCTGTGCGCCTTCTCGTCCCCGTCGCTGTGATGAAGGTCTTTCTTTTTAATTGGGTCAATGTCGCTCCAGTCCTCCTGGGGGAGAAAAGATACCAAGTGAGTTGACAGGTTCCTGGAGCACACTTCCATTCTTCGGGTCAACAAACAGTGAGTCTTTCTAGGCAAGTGGGCGCTGGGGACACAGCAAGGTGACATCTCCCGTCTATAGGATCGCACCCCAGGCCTGCTCAGTGGTGGAGACCCGAGGACTGAAGTGTGGGACCTGCTTTTCTTTCTCCGTTTTCTATGTATAACACTTATGTATGGAAAGAAATACTCTGGAGACCTGGGGAGAGTGGAGAAGGGAGACAGGGACACTAGATTAAATAAGAGAATTCAATAGTGGCTAAATCAAAGCCATTAAAATCAGGGTAGCTCTCGGGATGCCTTCTACAGCTTAAGGGTACCATAGGACCAGAGTCTCCCTCAGGCAATTGAACCAGGCTCAGAGGTTGTTAAATGATTTCTGTAATTCTACTGAATAATAGTGGAGGGAGGGGAAAGGATGGCCGAGCTTTCCTTCCAGCTAATAGGGCTACAAATTAAGCGCTTAATGTAAAACCAGATGATAGAAGCTCTGGCAGAATTTATTCAACTCATCTGTGCAAACAATTTACTCTAATCTATCAACACTAATCAAATTAAATAACAACCTCATGACCACAGAGCTAAATATATTTTTCAACCGCTTGGGACCTGATTTCTGTGAACACCATAAGAAAGTTTTCTGTATATGCCCCCAAATCAACAATACCCCACGGCTCGTAATCCTCCCACTCAGGCAGACGTCTGTGGGCCAAGCATCATCAACTGGCCATTTCCCCAGCAGATGCTATGAGGACGCCGTCTCCCTCAGGGGAAACCCAGCCAGTCTTGCTTGGATTTGTTCAGCCAGCATTCCTCCAGCCAGCAAGGGCTGTGTGACCGCTGGACACAATTTGGCTCTAAACAATGTAAAGTGAGATCTGCAGAAAGAGTAATTCTCAGGGGCTGGGCCAAATCAGACATGGTTTCCCTAAATGCAACTGGCTCTGCTAGTAAGCTGTATTTTTACTCAAAAGGTAGAATAGTTACAGAGTAATTGGGCCTAAGCCACCTCCTCTGGAGGCCAGCTTGTCCTTCAGCTGCTCTTGAGGTGAAATGAAGCTGGTTTATCCCAGCAAGGGAGGGATTGTGGGAGGAATGTCCCACCCACTTATCACAAGGCCTTCTCAAGCCTCCAAGTGCTATGACTTTTGAAGATCCTAGCTTCCCTGTGGCTCAGCTGGTAAAGAATCTGCCTGCAATGTGGGAAACCTGGGTTCGATCCCTGGGTTGGGAAGATCCCCAGAGAAGGGAAAGGCTACCCACTCCAGTATTCTGGCCTGGAGAATTCCAAGGACTGTATAGTCCATGGGGTCTCAAAGAGTCGGACACGACTGAGCGACTTTCACTTCACATCACTTCACTTCAGCCCGCACAGTAACAAATGAATTAAAATGCATCTGGACCCCATCTGGGCTTCCCAGGTGGCACTATTTATTGGTAGAACACACCTGCCAACGCAGGAGATGTGAGAGACTAAGAGACGGGGGATTGATCCCTGGTCAGGAAGATCCCCTGGATGAGGGCACCGCAATCCACTCCAGTATTCTTGCCTGGGGAATCCCATGTGACAGAGGAGCCTGGTGGGCTACAGTCCATAGGGTTGCAAAGAGTTGGACACAACTGAAGCAATTTAGCATGAACAGCACCTACTCCATTTAAATACTTTTGGCTGCAAAAAATTTTTTGAAGGATATTTATAATTTGACTTTTGAGATTACTTGGTTATAAATAAACTTTCAATTTACTATTGGCTAAGATTTCAAGACAATCTTGGCAACTGCCAGGGAGAGAGAGACTCTGACCTCTGTCTGCCTTCACAATATAAGGAGACATGTGAATACTAAATCCAGCAAGTAATGAAGCTACCAGAATCATACTGTGTAGACTTTTAATTAATTAAGCTTTATTCATTTTTGTTTTGTAGCTTGCTGGTAACATGTTGTGGCTAATAACTTTTTCCCACAGGTATCTGGCCTACTACACACACTGGCTAACCAATCACACCATTTAACCTTGTGCTTGAATAAAATCAAAAGTAAACAAAAAGTGAATTGCGCAGGTGGGGCCACCACACTGTAATGTTCACCAAATCAACATTTGTAAGTCAACCATCAATGTTTTCTCAGAAAATAAACGTCATCTTCTTCGCACAAACGAGATTGACCGGTCCGTATGTAAAACTCCCTGACCTCTCTCTACACTTCCCCGCCCCACCCCGGCCATGTGGCAATGAAGCGAGCCCACCATAGAACTGAGGCCAAAGATGAGGGCTGACTCTATAACGAGGGCACTGCAAAGTCCCAGCAGTGACGGGATGCTAAGCAGCACTGATGAACACCAACCCACCAGGCACTGCATGAAGATACCTTTTCATCCTGGCAACAAGCCTGCCATTTTATCAGTCCTATCCAGCAACAGGGACACAGGAGACCAGAGAGCTTAAGCAAACTGTCCAGGTCACACAACGGGCAAGCAGCTCAAGTCGGCCGTTTAGAAAGCAGGATGTGGATGGCCGGCCAGGGCCCAGTTGGAACCAAGTTACAGAAGCCTGATTTCTCACAGTATCACAAAAATCCAAGAATAGGTGTATAGGGAGTCATCCACAAAGGACTGTTTAGTCCTGCACTCAGTCAAAAAGTGCAAGTCACCACATTGACTACCTGCTCCGAGAGGAGGGTGGGGAGCGGGAGGATGGGATGGGGGGGGGAGGAGCACATCAGCCGCTAACACTCACAGGGCACTTGCTAGGGCTGAACCGCATCCTAGACCCTGCCCGCGTGTCCATGCTCCTTACAATGCTAGAACTGTCCCATTCTGCTGATGAGAAGGCTGAGGCACCAATCGCGGAGTCAGAGCACATTGCAAGGCTGGAGTTTAGCCCAGCGCTCAGAGTTTCAGGCTTCCCCGTGTCCCACCCTTAGAGAAGACAGCTCCCATCCACCACCACCACAGTCAAACCTGGGGGAAAACAGTGCATTTCCTATTCCCCTCAGGACACGTCAGGGCACTGTAAATTCCTCTAGGTCGGGCTGGCCCATCAGAGCCACTGGCTGAGATGATGCCCACACAACTGTCTGCCGCAGGTCTGCCCATCCATGGCTTGTCACCACCCCATGTTGTTGCTGGACATTTGGGAAGGGCTGAGGGCAACCCACTCCAGTACTCTTGCCAGGAGAACCCCATGGACAGAGGAGGCTGGTGGGCTACAGCCCACGGGGTCGCAGAGTCGGATACGACTGAAGCGACTCAGCACAGCAGCACCAGGGTGCAGGTGACGCCCACCCTGGGACATCATGACCCGTGCCTGGGGCCGCTGCCCCTCAGCGGAGTCCAGAGCAGACCCCACAAGGAAAACGAGGGAACAGAGTGACAGGGAGGAGATCGGAGACCAGTGTTGTGGGAACGTCACTCTGTGGTGGTGACGGAGGCTGGAAGGTGAGGCGGCTGGGCTGGGGGCACTGCTGGGGGGCCGCAGGTGGGAGGGAACTGGCATGGGGTCAGTCATCCACAAGACACGCAGGGAAGTCATTAGGGGAGGGCAGAGGTGGCGCTAGGAAGGAAGGGGAGTCTGTCCTGGAGATGCTGGGTTGCCCCGAGACACCACAAGCAGGAAAAGAGATGGGAGGAAGGCGACCGGAGTGAGGACACGGTCCAGGGAGGCAGGAGGGGCTGGTATGCCGGGGAGGGGCAAGACACATGGCACGCTGAGATGAGGCCTGGCCTGGGAGCCGGAGCCCCGGGCTCTGGCCACGGTTTCACTTTGCTGGTGGTGGGGTCTGAGTAAGAGGCCTGCCTTCTCAAAGATGGGGGTGTGGGGCTAAAGCACTGCAGGGCCCCCGGGAGTCCCAGGGACAGAGCCAGGTATGAGCACTTGATCACACGTCCTGCCTGGAATCCACTAAAGGTCAATATCTAAAAGCAACACAGGTCCTTTCAAGGCAGAGGATGGGCGTGGTCTCCGGCACATTTCTTCTGTACCCATAGCACCCAGCATGGGGGTGGTCTTAGGGTAACTGCTCAATAATAAATGCAATCGAAAAAAATTCTCACTCTGTTTACTCAGATTAATTTTACTGGCTTTGCTCACTTTGCAGAGGAAACTTTTCATTACAACCATCCCCCTCACACATTCACACATATCGTAAGACACACACACACATCAGTGGAGGCTCCATTTAAAAATGGAAACACTGAATATAATCATACGGAGTGGCTCCTTCACCCAGTATCTGCTGGTATCCAGGATGCGCCACCAGTGGCGTTTTCTCTGTGTTAAGAGAAAATGATGCAGGGACAGACAGAGCCTCTTTTCAGTGACAAGCATAAACTACTCAGGGTAGTGGAGTAATGATGTGGTTTGACGCTGGCTGGGTCCAAAGTTGCAGAGAATCCAAAGCCAGAGACCCGACCCATAAGCCTGCTTTTCTTTTTTTTTTTCATTTATTTTTATTAGTTGGAGGCTAATTACTTTACAACATTGCAGTGGTTTTTGTCATACATTGAAATGAATTAGCCATGGATTTACATGTATTCCCCATCCCGGTCCCCCCTCCCACCTCCCTCTTCCCCCCATCCCTCTGGGTCTTCCCAGTGCGCCAGGCCCGAGCACTTGTCTCATGCATCCAACCTGGGCTGGTGATCTGTTTCACCCTAGATATACATGTTTCGATGCATAAGCCTGCTTTTATTTCCCAGGATGCAGCTCCACCTCTGCTGTGTTCCTCCTGCCCAAAGAGGGATGCTGACACTGACTATATAATGACTCACCCACACACGGAAGACGCTACAGATACATGCACACCAGGCGGGCTTGGTGGTTCTAAGTGAAAGCTACATTCTGTCAGGAAATATGGATTCTCTGCTGACCAGACTGAGGGGAGGCCACTGGCCCCGCATAACTTCATCGTTTGGACTAAGCCCTGGATACACTCACATGCAGCCTCAGAAAG